TTCTTTGGACATTATATTATTTGCAACGCTTTTATTAGTTTTCTAACATTTCAGTACTTGCGTATGTATTGGCGCAAAATGGATCCTGAAACCCCTCCAGAAGTGGATGATGGTAGTCAGGAAGATTTGATGACTGGCAAGATCGAAGGCAAAGAAAGGGAAAATGATCCTCACAACTTGGAGGAAAGATTTTACCGATATGGTATGATGGTTTAAGTATTGTTTTCTTTTTGGAGACAGTTCTTACCAAAGGGTTTTGTGGTTTCCCAAGTTATTTTTGTACTTATGTTCATTAAGGTGTTAAACCGGAATGGATGCAGGTGCATCGGATCATTAACCACGTGCAGTATCACAAAAACCAGTATGACTACTTGGTGAAGTGGCGTGAGTTAGTTTACGAGCAGGCCACTTGGGAAAGGGATGATTTTGAAATTATTGGTTATGAAGACGCTATCATAAAGTATTGGCAGCACCGGTACGTCCAAATTGTTTAGGAAAAAATTGTTTTATGAATTTGCATTTATTCCACTGTTCTTATTCAGGGAACGGATGAACGGTGACCCAATCCCAAAACATATTGCCAAAAAAATTCAACGACGGCTGGAAGAAAACGGAGGTGAGAAAAAGGAGGAGGATAAGAAGAAGAAGGAAGTTAAAGTTGATGTAAGTTTTTTTATTTCCTGATTTGTCATCCGGAACTGTTGAAGTTTTTCAAAATTGCACGTATGTTGTTCCAAAGATTTACAATATAGCTTTTAGTTACGTAAAAAGTATGATACGCAACCTGACTTTATTACCGAAACGGGTGGAAAGTTGCATGAATATCAGCTAGAGGGTATTAACTGGTTGCGCCATTGTTGGTCACAAGGCATTGATGCGATTTTGGCTGATGAAATGGGTTTGGGGAAAACTATACAATCTATGTGTTTTCTCTACTCATTGGTTAAGGAGGGTCACACTAAAGGCCCTTTTTTGGTACGTTTTTGCACAGTAGTGTTGTGGTTATATAAAGTTTGTTAAAGGAAGTCGACAAGTAATGCGGAGTTTTTTTTTCTTTTTAAAAACCTCTTATCCTGCAGGTTGCGGCGCCGTTATC